GCATATAGAGCAATGCCTCCATGAATAGCTTTACCTTTCCTGATGCGAATGACTTTTTCTATAAGGCATAACCTTTCAAACATATATTATCTTCCTTATCGGCCTTTGTTTCTAATAGAAATATAATATCAGAATTTATATGTAATTTTCACAAAAATCAGGACCATTAAGTTTGCAATATCTATTCCCATCTTCCCTGTAAAACAAACCATGCACATTCTAAGAACTAATTGTTAATTTGTTTTTTAACATTCTTTGAATTTTAAGGGATTCAACAGAAACCTTCAGAGTTGAAAAACAAAATTTTAGAAAAATTATAGAAATGTTGAAAAGTTATTTAAATGTAGGATTTTTTTTTCATCTTTTTTAATATGTATCCTTTCAAATTTTGAAAAAAAAAATATGACTTGCAAAATTTAAAACAATTGACTAGATAATAATGAAAACAAAACGGAAAAATAAAAATAAAATATAGCTTAGATAAAATAAACAATAACTGTAGAGTCTTTAAGTATGTCAGGTATACTTTAACATGGTGAGACTAGTTAATTCTTGAACATTTGAAGGGTTGCAACAGTGTTTACAACCATTTCAATCATTTTCATATCCTTGTTATCTACAAATTTGTGGTTAACATTGTAATTTCTCATGTCGTGCTTGTTCATTTGATCTTTAGAGTATCCATCATAGAAACCATGGTTTTGGTAGTTTTTGCCACTGGTTGTATTATTTGTTGGTACTTTGTTGTTCTTTTTGTATGAAGGCCACTTTCCATTTAGCACACAACTTAGGGTCTTTTTCAAATTACCTACCAAGACTCTTGTTCCCTCATTAATGTTAATGTGAAGACCATCTTTGTCATATAGATTCAACTTGACATTATATGATGTGTCATCAAGAAAAAAGTTAGAGTTGTCACTCCATGTAACATTTTTGTTGTCTCTTAATTTTGAGTACAATGTTTCATTGAACTGACAAATATTCCTAGTAAGCCTAGTTATCCTACATGGTAAAAGTGATGAGATAATTATTCTTGCGCCGAGTCTTTCGAGATTTTCAATGATTTCAACATATTTATCCACAGCGGAATACACAACATCAGGTGACTGTCGTAGATCATTTGTTCCTACATGACGAATTACAATAACGTCAGTCAGATCTTCATACTGTTGAATATACTCTTTAAGGTCTTCTAATGTGGCGGTTCTTTTAGCCAGACGCTCCAACTGAAAAGATGTTGTCAGCCGCTTGATATCAATGAACTTTGGGATTGTACTATTATGGAAGATAACCTTTTTTTAACTGGGTTTTGCTTAAGGGTGGAATATTGAACAAATGACACTTCTTTCTCCTGAATCATTGTATCATTGATGCGGAACTCTTTGTATTGTGATGCAAATTTGACTGGTATTGGAATCCAGAAGTTTTTGAACACGACTAATTTTTGGGTTGTTCTCCCTTCACCGGTGACCATTGACCTCCTAATATATATTCTTTCACTGTTAGAAGCATATCATGTAATTTCTCAATGGTGGCATCTTTTTCCTGTAGTTTAGCATGATTTTCATGGAGAAGAATTTCTAGTTCAGTTTGTTTTTCAGTGAGAACTATAATCTTATTCTGTAGCTGTTCCTCCGCTGCATGAAACACTTGTTTTGCTTGATTACTATTCCTCTCCAATTCCTTGGCTTTTAACTCAGGAGTTGACATTTTTCTATTTCAAAGTTTTCAATTCTCTTCTTTTTATCAATATCAGATTCATGCATTTTTCACGTAGCATCTTTAGTTCTCTTGCGTGAACTTGTTTAAGTGTTTCTATAGACTCGGGAGATGTTTCAACTTTATTCATTAATTTCATTACGTCTTCCACGATATCACTTCTTAACCCTTGGAGATTCTTACTGAGTAATATTTCAAAGTTTTTGTTATAGACGAATGTGCAAGCAGCATTTAGAATTTCAGATGGCATACTTATCGTGCTGTCTTCTAAGATTGATAACCTTTGCTGAATTTGAGAGGATTCTGAAGTTGAGTGTGGTTCATCTGATACACTATTGTTTGTGTCTGTATTGATTATGGTATTTTCATTCTTTGACTGCTGATGTGATTGGTACATTTTCCGGAGTTTTAGATTTGATCTTATCTTGTTGTTGTAGGATTACTGAATTTGCAGATAGGATTTGATTGAATTCATTGACATGTGCACTTTTTGGAATGGTATGGTGATTTGTGCAAGACTTATTATCTACTCCGTTTTCAAATTCAAGAATTATTGGGGTGGTCATTTCAGCACTAGCTGACAAGTTTTCAACTATTCTTAAAGTTTGTTGATATTCGTTTTAGCACCACTGCTTGAAGGACATTATTTTACCTGTGGTCAGATATACAATAACTTTAAACATCAATGTATCCCCTTCATAATCCCCAACACTTTCTGAAGAATGTACTTCAAAATCCGTTCTTTCAATTATACCTTGTGTGGTGGAGTCATGCCATTCAACTTTCACTGAGGGGGTTATTCTTGTTACCCATTATGAGCACCTGTCCTAATGCGCAAAGCCAGCAATGCATTCTTTCACGAGATGTGATAAATACGGTACAGTATGCGGTTTCTCTATATAATTTAGGTCTATCTTTTCGAATGGTATTAATATTTTATTGTCTTTTGCTCCTTCTTATAAAGTGCTGATGGTAAGGTATATAGATTTTTTAATTCAGATAACTGGCACCGGTTTTCATAATTCACCGCCATTTTCTTTGTTTACAAATTGAAATATATAGCTATTTATAAATAGCTTGTTATCTACTGATTAATCACATCGATTAAATTGCATTAAGTTTGTTTCTGTTGATTATCCCTTGTAATGTTTGCTTAATAAAGCATTATTATATGTAAAGTTTCTGTTTGCAAAAATATCGTGGTGCCGATGCGCTGATATATATATGTTTATAATCATGTTTCCATATTTGTTTTTTAATCATTTTTAAAGATAAATAATCAGTATGTATGTTAGATTGCACGTGTTTGTTTGTGTGGATATTGTATGAACTTTGTGATTTGTGTTGATTTATATGCTCTATGTGGGCCCTTTAATTAATAGGAATAAAGACATATACTGATTTAATTTGACTTCGAATAATAACTCACTAATACCCGATACAGGATACAGATTGTGAGACCCTTTCACCATGTTTACTTCCTTAATCCTGTCTGTATCCTGTATCGGGTGTATCATGTATACAAAATCATCTTATAGTTGATGTGTTTCCCTCGATTTATGACTATTGAACAGCGGTATACTACTGCTGCCTTTACTGTATCCAAGATGACAGCCTCCACAGGCAATGATTCGAAAGATTATGCAAGGAAAAGGAACACTAACATTAATAATATTTTCGTTGACACATCAAGGAGAAATTCTAGTGTTGAAAGCACTAAAGCACGTAATAAAACACAGATAAGTGCCCTTTTCATTTGGCCAACAGTGGTCATATTATATACAGTCACCTACGTGTGTCTGCATGAAGTAAAATATAACAAATATCCAGAGCCTAAATACTCCACAGCCTATGCAGAGAAGGATCAATTTTTTGAAGATGGAGCACGTAAACATTTGCTGGAATTGTGTAGCTTTGGACCTAAGGTGGCTGGAAGCAACGCAAATGAGGTTCAAGCTGTACAATATATTGTTAATCAAATAGATATTATAAGAGAAACAAGCCAAGAACATTCACCAGTGAATTCTCTGACAATTGACATTCAGAAAGTCAGTGGATCATTCCTTTTAAAGAATTTTGTACAGACAAACTATTATTCTGTGTATGAAAATCTTCAGAATGTAGTGGTATTGCTTGAACCACCAAATACTTCCAAGTCAAGCCTTCTCATTAACTGTCATTTTGATTCAGTGGTTGACAGTCCAGGTAATATTGTGAGCCATAAAAGTGTCCTGTGAAATAGTGTCCATGCGGACACTTTTTCACAGAAAAAGTATATTTAAGGTAACACAATACAAAGATTTTTTTACTTCCAATCTCCAACCTTTAAAATGATGTTACTTGCTTATGACTGCATACAAATTAATAAAAGAGGTATATATAGATAGATAAAAAAGATAAATCTTTTAAATGAATGCAATATTTTTGTTATGCAATCATTATGTAATCAATTATTATGCAATTAATGGCAAAATCTTGGTCAGTTCACTTGAATGAATTTAGCTATGACATCTCTATAACTACAGAAGAAATTTTAACGTTATCTTAATCAACACAGCAGGAGCTACAAAAGGGTTTCTCAAATTATCGCTATCGTATTCCATTCTCTCATAAATCTGTAATTAGTGTAAACATCCTTACCACATAAAAGTAAGATTATTTGATTAGGTGTAAAATTTGATCTATACATTCTATCCAAAATCTGAGACACCTTTTTGTAGATAATGGCTCTAGGAACAACATATTATAAAATCAACCCTCTCGGGGTATCCATGAAGAAGCTAATTTCAATTAAAAGTGGAAATTTCTTGTAAAATTTTGTAGACACAGTTAAAATTATAATTAATTACATAATTGTTGTACAATACTAACATTGCATTAATTTGAAAGAGTAATCTGTTAGCTATCCATAAATACCACTTTTATAAATTTTCAAGCATTATAAAGAAAGTTACAGCATTTTAAAACTGGGGAGTTGGAGGTATAAAATCTTTGTATTGTGCTACCTTAAATGTGTCCGATGCTGTGAAAAAGTGTCCATTCAATCGGACATAATTTCATGATACAATACTATTGAATTATGTCTTGTCAAGGTTTATTTTCAATCAGAGGACACTTAAGTGTCCTTTGAAGGGAGATAATAAAAAAAAACCTCTGAAATGTTTTAGCTATATTTATTTTTTTATTACAAACAAACCAATTTAGAACCAGTTATAATTTGATATAAACAAAAATGGAATGTGTTGAATTCCAAAGAATTTTCAATTATCTTAGCTATAAAGATGTCGACAAAAAGTATTCACTAGCCTCAATTGACAATGAAAAAGAAGTATCAAAAGAAAAGCACCCAACTATGAAATAAACAATGATGAACTGTACTTTACAACTATTGAAAAAAAAGAGAGGGTATTGTTTTATTGTATAATATATGTTTAATTACACATGGTGATGATCACATTTTGTAAGAATTAAATACTCCAGTTTACATGCCATGTTTTGATGGAGACAAACCCCCCATGCTAATTTTAAAAGTTCAATTTAGATAAAGAACTGAAGCTATGTATACATTTTGTAGGTATTGAGCATGGACACTTTTTTCACGTGAAATACTGTCCTTTCTACCAGAAGGACACTTTTTCATATGAAATATTGTCCGTTCATTGAAGGACACATTTTCACATCTGTGGACACGATTTCATAGGTAAATATCGTCTGGACAATATTTCATAATAACATTATGTCCGTGGACACAATTTATTGTGAAAAAGTATCCGGTAGACATAATTTCATGGCAGACAATATTTAATCCTACAATATTTCATCTATTTATGTAATAACCAGACCTGGGGTAATCAAAACTGTTATTGTAATTACCTGTAATTAATTAGAATTTGAAAGTAATTTAAAGTAATGCAGTACTGCCAAGTTTTCATGAAGCAAATCCGTGAGATTAGACCAAAATTGTAAAGAACAAAGAGAAAAAAACAATAAATCAAAGGAAAATGCCACCAAATAAGCATGAAAATGCATGAGACTTGGCAGCCCTGGTAATCATGATAATGTGTTATTGAGCATATTTTCAATTACATGTAATTGAAAGTAATGAATTGTATTGCCTTTTTCATTGTTTTTGGCATGTTGATGATGTAGTTTATATGAATTACTTTTGAATTACATTCAATAACATTGTAGTTTTAAAACATTTCTTGTTTCTCTGATGCACTCACACATGTATACTACATTTAAAAAAAAAAATTGTATGCATTAGTTACTTTGATTTGAATTTCTTTTTATACTTTAATTGTTTTAAATAAGTATAATGTGTAAGAAAATTAATACATGTTATTGCTAAATACAGCAAAGTTTTATAGAATGTATAATGATCTTCATTCTCATTTAATAAATATAAATTAATTTCTTCACATTTGAAAAATCAAAAGATTAAAAACCGTGAATACCAATTCTTTTACATGTTATTGTAATGTAATTAATAACAGATTCAGATTCAAAACATTATGTAGCTGTTATGGTTATAGTTTACTGCATCAGCCTATAATAAATGTAACTGACCATCAAATTATCAACATGATCAAAAGAAAAACAATTTTCGTAACTAGTAGGGTGATGTCACTGCAAGAGAATCAATAATGAAGCTACACCTACCTCAGAAACTCCATTTTAATGAATTATTATCAGAATTTGATGTGTACATGTAAAGGAATAACCTTCAGCTTGAGAGATTTCATTCTTAGGACATCATGTTTTAAACTGCAACAGCCAGAAATATGAACATTTGTGAGTCTGCACTAAATATTATCGAGAAATTTATCATGCTGTTGTTTACAACATTGTAAAAAGCAAAAGCAGCATATCATATTAGAATACATATTTTACAATACCTTTAGCAAATTTTTTTAATAATATTTATAATTCTGAATCAATAATTGTACATGTTTTTTCTGTGATTAAACTTGTGATATAACTTCTTTTCAGGAGCTGGAGACAATATTGCTAGCTGTGCGGTTATGTTAGAACTGCTGCGAGTTCTGTATATATCAAAAGACCCTCTCAAACACAACATTATATTCTTATTTAATGGAGCAGAAGAAAATATTTTGCAGGTTTGAATGTATAAACATTACATTTCAGCTTCACAGTAATATTCATTGCTTTAAGTCAGTTTTTGGAAGGGAGAAATCATGTAATACATGTAAATACTTATTGACTGCATTGCTTATCAATATGTGCGGTATGGTTTTGACAATCATTCAAAACACTTGTTTAAGAAGTGTTTGGTAAACAATTTAACTGTAAATTTTGATGTTTTTAAATTTATGTATATGTACATGTTTACTACATACAATTGTCAAATGAAATGATAAAGTGAAGATCAAATCTTCTTCTAAATGTTGTAATATAAAGCTATCATAAATCTAAAATCTTGGCATAGGACCTTCACAGTTAAATATGGGATCTAATCATTCCCTGCAGTAGGGCTACATTAAAAAAAATCAGATCAAAGTATGATGACAGACACAGAATTTGTAGAGATCAATAAGCTTATAATAGAGAAAAATATTCAGGACATCATAATTTTCTGTTATAAACACTGTCACAGTCATTCCAAAGGTCAAACAGTTTTTCCATTGAACATTTCTGCCCTTGAAAGAAATGCCCAGTTATAATTGAAGCTTAAAATTTGTTTTATTACAAATATATGTCATATTTGTTCTCTTGTTAATCGATGGATACTCTATTTTTAGGCAAGTCATGGTTTTATAACACATCATTCATGGGTTCCATCTATCAAAGCTTTTATAAACTTAGATTCAGCAGGAGCTGGAGGTTGGGAAATAGTCTTCCAAACTGGTACGTGTTTTTGGGGTGAAGATTGCACAAACTGTAATCAAAAGCCTTGTGTCACTGGCTTGATAACTACATGTATATATTGCTATATATTGATGTATTATGATAGACTAATAAAGTTGAAACTTATATTTATACCCCCGCTTTAAAAAAGTGTGGGTATACTATTTTACCTCTGTCTGTCCGTCCATCCATCCGTCCTTCCAGCCATCCGTCAGTCCATCCATCCGTCAGTCCATCAGTCCGTCCGTCCGTCCCATGAATATTTTTCTTCGCATCTTTCTCAGGAACTACAATACAAGGATTTCTGAAATTTGGTTTCAGGGTTTATATAAGTCAGCTATACCGTGTGATGCGTTTTCAGATTCATCACTTAACAACTTCCTGTTTATACTTTTAGCGGGCGGGGGTATCATTAGTGAGCAGTAGCTCACAGATTCACTTGTTATTTCTATTCCATAACAAGAAATTAGAATTTTTTACCACCCATATTTGTTACAACTTATCAATGTATAGTTTAACAATAAGTTTATAGACCTTTCTTCAGCTATAGATAATGTTGATCTTGGTGGTCGAGTTGTCTAAGTAGTTCATCTATACTAGCCTGTCTACACTGAGGTTGTGTGTTTGAACCACGCCCGTGCAGGTGTACTCGACTCCAATTATAATTGACAAAGATTGTCAGTTCCTCCCGAAGGTCAGTGGTTCTCTCTGGGCACTCCGGCTTCCTCCACTCAAAAAAAACTAACTGCCATGAAATAGCCAAAAGTGCTGAAAGTGGCGTTAAACACCAGTCAATCAATCAATCCTGGTTATCCCCTTTGATGTATACATGTATTGCTCAAAATTCTTTAAGCTTTAATACTATAAAATTCTGCAAATAATAACATAATCTTGCTTGCAAAGGCTGTTGCATTTTTAGCATTCCGGACACCTGGGATAGGCACTTGGAAATCACATCTTTTGGTTGGTTCCTAACTTTACCCTTAAAACAAAAATCAATGAAGTTTATTCAGTCTTGTCAGTAAGTAAGTACTCACTTCAAAGTGCTTTCCTTGGGTGCCATCTATAACAGTATAGTGCGGGATTTTCTCTCTGCGTTGAAGACCCATTGGTGGCCTTCGGCTGTTGTCTGCTCTTTCGTCGGATTGTTGTCTCTTTGACATATTCCCCATTTCCATTCTCAATTTTAGAATAACTTACAGGTATATAGAAAAAGTCATATAGAAAGTTTGATGTCATTTTGGAGTACATATTGTTTCTTTTTGTTGAAAGTTTTTATGAACATAAGGACAAATTAAACAACAAATGACTATTGAAAGCACTGAAAGTTTAAACTATTTAATTAACTTAAATTGTATAAATGTAGTCACGACCATAGGTATTACTTTTATCAGTAGGTGTTTCTTATTTTAGGACCAGAACACCCATGGTTAGTCAAGGCATATGCTGAGTCAGCATTATATCCTTATGCTTCCATAGTGGGTCAAGAGATCTTCCAGAGTGGTGTCATTCCTTCTGATACAGATTATAGAATATTCAGAGACTTTGGAAATCTTCCTGGTAATATATTAATTCTTATGGTATGATAACCTTTAGAATTCACATTCTTGGTGAAGTTATGTAGATTATACCACCCAATCCCCACAGCTTCTTTAGTTCATACCTTTTTTACTTTACACAATTTGTCCATTTTCCCTATTCATTCCATTTGTGCAAGGATATATACATGTAGAGGGGATTATAACAGCTGCTGACCAAATGTTGGTCATGACAACTGGGTTATAAAGTTAAAATCCATATTAAGTTTTTAGATATTAAATTACCTTACAATTGTATAAATTGAAAATGCATAGGATAGTAGGACAGCCTTCTATCAAAATTAGGTAACCAAGATTTTGGCAAATACGTACGAATTTTGAATTTGTCTGCTAAATGCCAGAAATTTTCACTTAATAATCTGAAATATCACATTTTTCTATTGTGCAATGTTGTGTGGCAAAAAAGAAAGGAAAATGTGTGATCTTCTTCACTCTATATATATGAATTTATCAAGAGTTTGTTTCACTTGAAATCAGAATTATACATTTTGTATACTATGATGTAGGGGAGTATAAAGTCTGATTGTGATACTTTTAACAAAAAAATTATAATAATGCAAGCTAGTGCTCTGTGTGGAAACATTAAGTGTGGAAACATTAAGTTTTATATAATTGAGGACAACATAAAGTTATATACCTTCCGAAAATCCATTAAAAACAACATAAAACTCTGCATTTTCCTGTCTGTACCAAAAACAACAAAACTTATTTTTTATGAATAAAATAAAAATATTTATATGAAGTAAACATCAGTTTGCTGTATATATGCATTATGTTTTTCGTATGTTTAATAATATGTGATGGAAACTGGTTACAGACTCTATCTGGATCCTAACCAGTAGTGTTTGAGAAATTTCCATTTACATTTCAGGTTTAGATATTGCTTATATTGCCAATGGCTACATTTATCATACACAGAATGATAAACCACAGTATATTCCATCAGGCAGTATTCAGAGAGCGGGTGAGTACTTATTACATACTAACTGATAACCTGGGTATCCCATATGCATCCCATATGCAGTATTCATTCTGAGAGCCGGTGAGTACTAATAAAATACAAAATGATAAACCACTGTCTATCTCATAGGCAGTATTCAGAGAGCTAGTGAGAACTTATTACATACTGACTGATAAACCAAGTATATCCCATCAGCCAGTATTCAGAGAGATGGCGAGTACTTGTTACATAATGACTGATTAACCAAGTATATCCCATCTGGCAGTATTTAGAGAGCTGGTGAGTGTTCATAACACACTGACTGATAAACCACAGTGTATCCAATTAGGCAGTGTTCAGAAAGATGGTGAGTACGTATTACATACTGACTGATAAACCAAGTATATCCCATCAGGCAGTCCCATCAGGCAGTATTCAGAGAGATGGTGAGTACTTATTACATACTGACTGATAAACCAAGTATATCCCATCAAACAGTATTCAGAGAGCTGGTGCTTATAACATACTGCCTGATAAACCACAGTGTATCCCATTAGGCAGTATTCAGAAAAATTGTGAGTACTTTTAACATACTGACATAAACCTGGGTGTATCCCATTAAACAGTATGCTCTGGGCTGGTGAGCACTTGTTGCATACAGAATGATAAACCACAGTATATCCCATTAGGCACTATTTAAAGTGCTGGGGCTCTTTTCACAAAAAATTTTACGATAAGTATTGATTGTAAGTTATACGGAAATGTTCATGATTTCCGAGCTAATTTTCTCAAAAAATGTTTTGTGAAATAAGTCGCTAGTGAGTTCTTATTACATACAAAATGATAAATCCATCAAGCAGTATTCAGAGAGCTGGTGAGTACTTATTACATACTGACATAAACCTGGGTGTATCCCATCTCACAGTATTAAGAATTTCAGAGAACTGGTGAGTATGTATAACTATTGTAAACTAAATGATAAAGCATGATTTACAAATGTATCCTACCAGGTAATATTCAGAATGCTGGTCAGTAAATATAAATATTACACAAAAAAGATAAACCAGGATGCATTCCATTGGCCAGTATTTAGCATACTGGTGAGTATGTATTTATAACTATTATAACAGAATGATAAATCCGGTTAATCCTATAGGTAGTATTCAGATATCTGGACTGGGTGGCGCAAACATCAATTAACGTTAAATGACATTAAAATTTTATGTGTTACTTAAATCTGTTGTAAATGATTTAATTTACACTTACACATTTTGTTAATTGATGTTTTTGCAACCCAGTCCTGGTTACGGGTAGTATTGATTACACCATGATGTCATTAAATATAATTTCTCTAATTTGATAACATGCATTTAAAATGTTTTATCCAAAAATAAGGACAAATTCCTAAAGATCCCTCTTTAAATAATCGATTATCATCATTTTGCATTAACCATAACATCAAGGTGTAAGTTAGATATACCCTAGCCTATACGACTTAAGCCATCAAAGGTATATCTAATACATACAGGATGCTAAACCTTGTCTTTTAACAAAGTGACCTCAAAACTCTCATGAAGAGAAAATTGTCAAACAATGATTGGTTTTAATAGTCTGTGTTTATTCATTACATTATTAGACAAGTTGACAGATTAGTCATATCTGATCATATTTAAGAAGCATTCTAACTATTTAAGATGGAGCTTTCATAAAGAAAGTAAAAATATACTTTGAACTAAAATTTCCTTTATTTTTTGTTGTAGGAGACAATTTATTGAGTGTGATAAAAAACCTGTGTTCCAATGAGCAACTTGAGGACCCTGGTGCAGATCAGCATGGAACTATGGTGTTCTTTGATTTTTTAGGACTGTTTATGATTTATTATCCTAGCAGAATAGGAGCTGTATTTAACTGTGGTCTTCTTGCGATTGTTTCAGTGACTCTACTGTTGAAATACAAGATTAAGACTAAGAGGATCCTAAGTTGTGAGTTTTACAAATTAGTATATATCTACAGGTCTTGTCTAATTGTGAGTGAAGTAGTAGTGATGGATGACCATTAAAGGGTTCTATTACTGTAAATTTCAGAAATTAATGTGTGCATTTATTATTGTGAATCACTGAAAACGGATTTAAAAATTTTGTAAAGGAAAATCACTACTGAAATTATGAATGCAAGCTTTTATAATTGCGAACCGGATACTGTCGCATTATCGTATTAATAAAAACATCTACATAATTTCTCAATTTACAGTATTTATATCGACAGGTCATATCATAATCGATCATTCTGACGTTCCAAAATGGAGAATTACTGACTTAACTCAATTGTTTTTTATAGAACCGACATATGATGAGGTTATTTTTTAATGTTAGATAATGAGCAGGTGTTGGATGAATTTTCATTTCATTTTGTTTGACCAAGGATATGTATAATCCTTGGTTTGAAATACTTCCACAGAAATATGGCATTTGATTTAGATAATTTGAGTCCAGTAAATTTTGTTCTAATATTTTCATATGCAGTTGTGTAATGGGTAGCTATAAATTAATGTTGCAATTAATTCTGTTTTTTACCCACCTTTTTAAATGTAGATTTTCAATAGCTGAGGTAATCATATTTTAACCACAGTCTACAATGTAATTACTGGTTGAAACCATAACAGAAAAGAATCATACTCTTTTAATTCGAGTGTCACTGATGTGTCTATTGTAGACAAAAAGCGTCTCAGGCATACAAAATTTTAGCCTGGTATCTATCATGAGTGTACCTTGTAGTAAACAGAAAAGAATGTGCCATTTGGTCTGTATAGTTATAATTGGGATTATACATTTTCAGATCAGGATGTATCAACAGACAAAACCTTACTACAAGCTTTAGTTCTGTCATTAGTATGTTGGATATTGTTGTCTGGAGTGGCAGCCATTGTTGGAGTTACAGTTGACTTACTGGGACATCCTATGTTTTGGTTCTCAAGGACATACAATATCATACTTGTGTATGGTGTCATGTCAATTAATATCATCTTAGCATTCCATTATCTGCTGAAACATACAATTTATAAGGTAAAAAAGGTTTTGAAGAAAATATGACCATGATTAATGTACTTTACACATCTGAAAGAAGCGAAAAATCACAGTCTTAAACTACAAAACAAAAAACAAAGTACAAAAAATAAGATAATGGTATGTATGGTTTTATGAAATTCGATAAAATATGGAGTAGAGTATGTGATCATATAAAGATATCAAATAAAATCCCTTGGAAAAGATTTAAAATTCCTGAAATCGCTTTAATGCACCGTACTAAAAGAAAAAGACAAAGTTTCTATACAGCTTTATAAAAACCATATCAACTTCAGGAAAGGAAATCTACAAAGGAGGAGGTATGATAAGAGCCATTATTTGACCCCTGAAATTGCAAAAATAGTAGAATGATTCAGGCCTTTCAAAATTAGGTTGATTTTATTAATAAATGAGTATCTGGACATGTAGTGCACAAAGGTCACTTGTGATTTCACTATGCTGCAAAAACGTGGTCAAAATTAACATTAACATCTTTGTAAAAAATATCTTGTAGAAAAATATCTTTTGAGGCAAAACTGTGACATATCTTAATAGTTATGGCAAGATCTCAAAAGGCTATTTTTGCAATTTTTGCAGTTTTGCACTAATGCAAGAAGTTTAAAAGTCCAAACTCAAATATGTAGGATAAAATTCAAAAATATAAATACTTATGTCTGTAAGACTAATGTCTTATAAACATGCGAAGGATGTTATTTGGTAGATTTATATTACTTTTTGATTTTCTAATTCAAAGTGCCCAGATCATACTTTCTTCTTTCACTAAAAATGACAAGAAAAAAATACAAAATACAAAAAATGAATAAAACATGTTTATTGCATAGTTCAAAACTGACTTCGGAGAGACATACAGATTTTGGAATGAGTAAACTACTTTTATTTGCCCTATATCAACTTTCATTAATCAGTATCTGAGAGAAGCACTTAGATATTTTAAAGGTAAAATTTACCTTTATAAACTTCATCATTATCAAAGTAAATACCTAGAGGTTTGATCTATTAATAATTAAAATAAATTTAAGTTTGTTTCATCCTAAATTTTGGTTATGACATCAGTGGTGTGAAGTTTTGTTAAGTATGTACATTTTGTAACTATGGTATTTCTATTCCAGAATACACCAGATTGGTATGTGGAATCCCTTTACCATGATGCAGCAATGATCATATTTTGTTTGATAACATTATTTCTAACTTACATGGACTTTGCATCAGCTTTTTTGCCAATGTTATGGATATTAGGACCATATTTAGCAAGATATGTTGTCATGCCATTTTTCAAAATAGATAATACTCTAGGTATGTATTATTTATAAATGTTAATTTGCAACATTTTTTTTTGTCAAATTTCATTTTGAAATATAATTTTACTTTGTTCAGATTATTTAAAATATCTTTTGTCATAGGTTTAGGTTAAAGTATAAGGAAGAAAACATAAATTTAGTATAGGAAATAATATTTTTTGTTGCCTTATATTGCTAGATGGACATTATATTGACTTGTACCTTATATTGTTAGATGGACTGTGTATTGCCATTTACCTTATATTGCTAGATGGACATTATATTGACTTGTACCTTATATTGTTAGATGGACTGTGTATTGCCATTTACCTTATATTGCTAGATGGACATTATATTGACTTGTACCTTATATTGTTAGATGGGCTGTGTATTGCCATTTACCTTATATTGCTAGATGGACATTATATTGACTTGTACCTTATATTGTTAGATGAGCTGTGTATTGCCATTTACCTTATATTGCTAGATGGACATTATATTGACTTGTACCTTATATTGTTAGATGGACTGTGTATTGCCATTTACCTTATATTGCTAGATGGACATTATATTGACTTGTACCTTATATTGTTAGATGGGCTGTGTATTGCCATTTACCTTATATTGCTAGATGGACATTATATTGACTTGTACCTTATATTGTTAGATGGGCTGTGTATTGCCATTTACCTTATATTATAAGATGGACAGCATATTGACTTGTACCTTATATTGTTAGATGGGCTGTGTATTGCCATTTACCTTATATTATAAGATGGACAGCATATTGACTTGTACCTTATATTGTTAGATGGACTGTGTATTGCCATTTACCTTATATTATAAGATGGACAGCATATTGACTTTTACCTTATCTTGTTAAATGTAAATAAGACAATTCCAAATCTTCACATGAATGCAAATTTATATTAAAATTAAGTATCTGTCTGCTAACTATTTATAGATACATTGTATGTAGGTAAGATAATTGTGCCAGATATCATAGAATTGCATCAGGACTATCAGAGTAGTCAATAAGAATGAATACATGTATAAACTCTAGTATTAGATGACTTTAAAGAGAACTTTAAAAAAAAACAGTAATAAAAACACCCAATCTGGTATTACTTGTAAAAATAGCTATTCCATGATTGCTAACTAGATGAGAGACCAGTAAATATTATTCAAAGAGAAATCTTGTATGATTGTATCTCAGACGGCAACTTGGGGGAACAATTGTTTTCTAGATTTAAGTCCATATTGCAAAGGTTACATGTTACCCTTACATGAATTATGTTATCTTTTTGTGATCTCAAAAATTTTAATTAATTTTAATTAACTTTTTTGCAGGTCCATCATTTTCATATGTATTTATAACCTTATTGGGTCAACTGTTCCAACTGTTAACCACACTTCATTCAGTAGAAGCTGTTTTAACGTTGTTTATACCCATATCAGGAAGGGCAGGATGCAATTCATATCCAGATATATTAATAGCAATGCTTACAGCTTTTACAGTTATAATATGTATGCAGTATTTAGTAAGTATAACAAATGTTGTAAATACAACTTGTATTCTGTAAATTGGTAGGAGATAGATAGTATGTGGGTTGTTTGATGTTTTATGTCATGATGATATTTTATTAGACTTTATAAGAATAGAATGTTTCTAAATCATAAATAACAAATGTACTACACTCCAGTGTAAGTTAACAAAATAAAAGAACTGAACCTATCTGGAACAACACTAAAACATGTTCAAATAAAAAAAAAAAGAAATATAATGTGCTAAACCAGTTAACACAACATTTACATTTAAAGCAGGCAGTTTAAACAACCTAAATTTAATTGTTTAAAAGACAATTCCATATTTTGTGGCGCTATGCTTATTTGCTAAGTGTTGATTATTCGTCAGATGTAAGGAAGAATATTAATTCTCAGAGTTTTGATAATGCATCTGTTATGTAGCGTCTTATTTCGTAACATCTCAAATTTTAATGTACGTAAGCTAAGTCTACATACAATTATACACATACAGTATATATATAAATGTGATTAAAAGCAAATTACTAATTCTATTGCAGGTTGGTTTTGTATATTTATGTTCTAATATGAAGCCACTTCTTGCTGCATTAAGTGTGATACTACTTAGTAGTCTTCTACTTACACAGTTTACTAGTCTTGGATTCCCATACAGTGGTAATGTGGAGAGTCCCACGTCACAGAGAGGACTGATCTTCGTAAGACATTTCTTTCTTAGTCCTGTTTTTATGGCCCCGCAACAAAGTTGTCGGGCCATAGGTTGTCGGGGCCATATAGTTTTACCCTTGTCCGTCATTCCGTCATTCCGCAACAAACCATTATACGGAATTTCTGGTATGTGAGTTAACCATGATGCGTTACAGATCAAGTTTAAGTTTCGTTCCGCTCTGCTAATTTTTGCCGAAATTACGGGCTTTGGACTTTGATAAATTGTTGAAAATCACAGTTATACGGTCTTTTTTTCTAAACGCCTTCAGATATTGGCTGATTTTTGGTATGTGAGTTAACCATGATGAGTTACAGATCAAGTTTAAGTTTCGTTCCGCTCTGCTAATTTTTGCCGAAATTACGAGCTTTGGACTTTGATAAATTGTTGAAAATCACAGTTATACAGACCTTTTTTCTAAACGCCTTCAGAAATTGGGCTGATTTTTGGTTTGTGAGTTAACCATGATGAGTTACAGATCAAGTTTAAGATTCGTTACACTCTGCTAATTTTTGTCGAAATTTTGGGCTTTGGACTTTGATAAATTGTTGAAAATCACAGTTATACGGACTTTTTTTTAAACGCGTTATGATTTTGCCCTGATTTTTGATATGTGAGTCTACCATGATGAGTTACAGATCAAGTTTATGTTTTGTTCCGATATGCTGATTTTCATGTCGTTTCAACACATCTTCAGTACATCCACTTCCTGTTTGCTGATAGTTTGAAATTTAACTATTCATTGATCAAGGAAATTTTTCATCAAACTAGTATTCGTTCCGACACATCTAGTTTAATTTGAATCATAGGATAGAGAATATTTGATAAAAATTAATTGTTGCTTTTGACGGGTCTTATTTTTTCTAGAGTTTTAATTTTTTTTATATGATTATGTGCAGTTAAACCTGTTTAAAATTAACACTGTTATAAAGTGGAACACTGTCTAATCTTAACTCTTGTGTCAGGATACACGATTTATATTCTTTAGTAATTTTACCTGTATATGCCAAAACCTGTCTCATCTAAATCAAACGGGTTCAATTTAAGCATGTTTAACTGTAGTATGAATATCTACTCATAACACATTTTTATTATTTTTAAAATGCAACAGCTGTACAATCTAGCTGTCTAAACATATTTTTGCTCAAGATTACTTATCAAAAGGTTTGATGAAAAGTGATGCTGAAAATATGAAAATAAGTACATGTATGCTTAAGATGTCTTTTCCAAAATTTGGTTATCAGTGTTGATGGAAAGATATTTCTATTAAAATTTAAATTAAAGCATAGATGTGAGGAGAACAATACAGGCTACTTTGAACCTCGTGTTTATTTATATAATCACATAAAGAGAAAGAGTTATTTTTCTATAATAATGTGCCTTCACAAAGACTATTGAACTTGATATGGGATCATAAAATATCTTAGGAATGTGGGCATTTCATAATGTGAATCAGCTGTCTCTTCTTTCAGCATATTAACAGAAACTTCCACAACCATGATAGAAGTATAAACAGGAGTGATTCAGGGATATGGTATTTGGCATTTGATCATAATGGTGCCAACTTAATACAGGACAATCCAGTGATTCGTGATAGCCAGTATGTCAAGTGTGAGGGTAACTACTGTGGCATGCCATACATGTACCCGCTTATACAGCTATTTGATGCTAGGTGGGTGTGGGATACTAGAATGCATGTTCTTTTATTTTGGTTTTATGTAATAAGTGTCACTTGTTTTGTTAACTTTCTCCGCTTCAAAGTGTTTATGCTGTTATTTTTGTGTTGCTGCATATTTTGAGTCTGGTGTACAAGGGATGATATCCTGATGACAAAAGCTTGGTGTAAAAGTATTTGAAGAATTAAATTTAGTTATGCTGGAAAAAAAAGAAATGTTGCATTTTTAAGAACTTTTTTGTGCCAGTCTTTGTAAGAATCAGGCAATTTAGAAAAAATTCAAAACATGGCCGAAAAAAACCCATCGATCTAACCAACCTATTTTGAAGGTACCCTCATCCTGAATTAGAAATGGTAGGTCTTTCGTTTCTGCTTCTCTGGTAATTCGAGAAATATCTAGATAAATTTTGGTTACATTGATAGCAAATTATGGAGTCATCTCCCCTTAATTGTTTTTTTCTAGTGCATTTCAACCAAATTATATCTTGAATTACCAGAACAGTGAAAGGAAACGAATGTTATATTCATGCACCATTATACATTCTGAATTTAAATTAATGTAAAGTTGAGCGGGTTTTTGTTTGTCATGTTTTCACCACTGCCTGATTCTTAGGCAGATTGGCACTTAACAATGGAAAAGTTGAATTAGTAATTTAAATTTTAAGCAACAATACGCAGCTTTTTAATAATCAGGTGTAGAAAAGGCAATATCATTGATTGAAAAACGACCAGGTAGTACCTGTATCTAATAGGAGAACTTAGAGCTACAGACGTCTATTATAACTCCTATTTCTCTGCTAGTAGAACTTAACATATGATTATAATCACTTTAACAGAAGCTTTATAATATTTTATAATAATTTGATCACAGAGTATGAACTGTTATGTAATATTATAATCCACACCACATCCATATACACACTGTCCATCTATTTACTGGTAGCTAAAGGAAACATTTTTAGTTAAATTAAAATGCATGCATTTTTTTTGTTGTCACAAATGTAGTTGATTCCATATATATTTATGTTTATATCAACCTGGATTCTTGTCAGCGGTCACTATGTATAGGTGATGTGAGGTATACATGTCAATGATTCAGCAACCCAGTGTTTATAGGGAGATCATGCCTTTAAGAATGTTTGCACTTGGAAGTGTTTATAGGAAGATCATGCCTTTAAGGATGCTTGCTCTTGGAGGTCATGCCTTTAAGGATGTTTGCTATGCTCTCGGAATTGTTTATAGGGAGATCATGTCTTTAAGGATGTTTGCTCTTGGAAGTATTTATAAGGAGATTGTGTCTTTAAGAATCTTTGCTCTTGGAAGTATTTATAGGGAGATCATGTCTTTAAGGATGTTTGCTCTTGGAAGTGTTTATAAGGAGATCGTGTATTTAAGGATATTTGCTCTTGGAAGTATTTATAGGGAGATCATGTCTTTAAAGATGTTTGCTCTTGAAAGTGTTTATTGGGCGATAATTCCTTCAAGGAAGTTGACTGCTGAAATCAAAATATCAACACTTTCCAAAATGACATTTTTTCTAAATGGATAATGGATAATACTTTGAAAATTAAGATAGTTAGTGTTTGTTTCGTGATACTAACAAGAATTTGAAAAATTATAATTTTTGGAGGGAAAAGGTAATTCATATTTTTATCTTGTCTGCAAAGAATGTAGTGTATTGCCAGATATAATGATGCTTATCTGGCAGCGTAAAATATGTGTATAAAGCTTTATATTTCAGAAGGTAGCAGAGCTAAACAATTCATATCTTGTGGTCTGAAGTTTCCATCTGGCATATGTCCAATATCCTGTGATTGTTTTTGATCACATGTTTTTTTTAAATTTTATTTTACAAGTAACAGGACAACTATATTTGGTAAATAGAATGGTTTGAAGGTAAACTTTTCTGTCATATAGGGTTCACCTGACTTTGACCTCATTTCATGGTTCAGAACTCATGTTGTCATGATGAAGTCTGTTTTTCAGATTTTTAAATAATTGATCATTCTTATTCAGTATTTATAGAATTTTCTTAAGGTTTACTTGTCTGACATCTTACTATTACATCTTTTTAAGTTCCTTATTCATTAAGTTTTCAATAGTAGATCTGTTTCTATTTGGTGTAAAGAAGGAATGTAAGGTGCACATACCTGACTACCAGGGTTTATGTGACCTTGCCCTCATTTTCATGGTTTTTTGATACTGTTAAGTTTATATGATACATTTAGTAGAACCTAGATAAAAAATGTTTCAACATAATATTCAAACATAATCAGTAAAGCAGGCTAAACATTTCAGCAGAAGCACAGCTGCACTCTTAATATGAGCACCATTCAAATTTTTCAGACACCAACTTCCTGTTTGTTGATACCTTGAATTTTTCAATATGTTAAATGAAATTAACAAATTTTGTCACATTTGTCTCAAGTTCTATTGAACAGAATTACTTAATATTTAGTCAGCAGTTTATCAGTGATGAGTTTCAAGGTTTTAGCTGTCAGACACATCGTTCCTATTTCCGATACTTTGAATTATTAGTTGGGGTATGCTTGATATGACAACATGTGCATTTTTGTTATTATTTTACATGTATGTGTTAATGTTGATCGAAAATTTTCCAATATCATAAAAATTGCATGAAATAGCTTTTGGATCTTGTTACAATATGATGAAGCTAAAACAATGGCTTATGAGTCATATAAATCAACACACAATTAATTACAAATTCATACAAATATATGAAAGAATGGCAAAAAAATTATTTTGAAATGTTTGGTTGCAATTAGTCCATTGATTATAGGAGAAGACTTTTGAATAAACATTAATTGGTAGACCCACAGACCTTAGGAACTAAGTGATGATGAAATTTCGCACTGGCTCAATAGGCCAGCGTAGCTTAAAAGGAAAAAGGTTTGTTGCACTAAGCAAAACATTTAGTAGATAATAATAAATAAAAGGAATTTGTAAAATTGAAATTTTACAGAAATTGGTAGTCTCAAAATGACACATTATTATCCTTTATCAGTATTTTTGTGTGCCACCTTCTTTCAGTTTTTTTTCTTGTCTTTTTCAGGCTTTCATTATACAGTCAAAAACCACCACCTGTTATTAGAATTCCTGTTACTGTTACGCTGACAAAGAAGATAATTGTCAAGGACAGTCCAAGAATTGTCAGATTTCACATTGATGTGACAGGTTTGTATCTTGCAAAGGGTTTTTGAATTAAATTAGAAAATAAAGAAACCAATAGAAGTATAAAATTCAAAGCCAGGGAATTGAGGGAAAGAAACAATGATATATATATTTAGGACTGTAGGTGTAATTCGGACGATGAGGTGTGATGGTCATGCTGAAGTGCAATGGTCAGCGCTGGAGTGCGTTAGTCTTTTTGCTGATGTGCGATGGTCTAATAGAAACATGATTGCTAGTTTAAAATCTACATTGATGATATGTATGTGCATGATTGAAATAAAAAAAAATCGTAAAAAGAATTATCACCCTGCAATAAGCCTGTTTACCATACAAATTAGGATTATGTGATAATTGTATACTGTTTGAATGTCATCTGTTAGTACCCTGCTAATATTATTGTTTCATCTTACCTTTAATGTACATCCCTTTAAACAATGTTTGTAACATTTGAAATACAAGAATATTTTTCATATTATGTATATCCTCAGTTACAATTGCATACTAAATGAGAGATTGTCCTCTTTAATTTTGCTGCAAGTGAACATAATTCTGTGTTTACAGTTTATTTTAACTTTGTTCCTTTCATGAGTTCTATTTTTACTGTAATATTATAATACTGAGTGTCTGTCTGCGGCCCTGTAAGTACTTAGATAATGCCACGCTCCATTATATGTAAAAAAAAAACGTCTATACATTTCGCAAATAAAAGGATCAGAAGACTAAATTTGACCTCTCTACCAATCACTCCCCTTTTCCGTAGTATTAAAACTTTTTAAATCCCTTTTTTAGCTCACTAATTGGCCAAGTGAGCTTTTCTCATTACTTGGCGTCCGTCGTCCGTCGTTGTCGTCCGTTAACTTTTACAAAAATCTTCTCCTCTGAAACTACTGGGCCAAATTTAACCAAACTTGGCCACAATCATTATTTGGGTATCTTGTTTAAAAAATGTGTCAAATGATCCCGCCTGCCAACCAAGATGGTCGACATGGCTAAAAATAGAACATAGGGTAAAATGCAAGTTTTGTCTATTATTTTGAAAACTGTTATAAATAGAGAAAATCTGACAGCGGTAGAAATGTTCAGAATGATCAGCTCTACCAATTGTCCTGCATATATATATCTATCAAAGACTCATGATAGAGAGATAAATTTTATAAATTCAAGAAATGGGGGACAACTTTTGGTATCATGAAAAATGAAAATTGTTAGAACTCAATAAATATAAGAGTTCATCTTTAGACTGTGATAAAACTTCTTTGGCATTAGGTTTATATTTACCTACGATATATAATACCTTGCAATGAGTCTTCAGAGAATGGTTAAAAGAAAGATGAGAATGACACTAGTCCATGATAAACATGTGTTAAGTATGTAGAAAATTGATACACTTCAAAGTTGAAAAGATTGATTGTTTTATATTTGTAGGACCAGATCATATGTCCTTGTATATTACTCCAGTCCCTGGTGCTGTACTTACAAGATGGTCTATAACTAATGATTCTCGTCTATACCATACAAGACTGCCGTCAGGTGTTCCAGGAACTACATACTTCATTTACTATTCTTATGGAATAAAACCAGATCATCCATGGAATTTCTTTGTTGATATAAAGGCATGTAGTATTGTAATGTTAATCAGTTTAAAATTCAAACTCATTATTTGAATTTTTATGATACAGACTACAAACTTCAGATGGTTAAGATGATAAACACAATTCACTCTTGTCATTTTAGACTTAAATCGCTATTGAAACTTACATAGTAGGTGGAATATTTTGACAAAAGGTGTTTTACCAAAGTTCTGCTTGACATTTTTATATAGCTCCTGTAAGAGTGTGGTTATATTTGATCAGTTAGTATGAATTATATGGTCTTCATGATGGTATGAAATTATTAGTAATGGGCAGTTTATCTAAGTTTTTGTGTTTATAGGCACCTGTTGGATATCCAGAGGACAAGCCATTGGTTGATATTGCCTTGAGTGGCCACTACTCACATGGCAAAGACAAGACATCTCCTGAATTGGATGATTTTATAAAGAGTCTACCCGATTGGTTGGTCACCATGTCATGGATATGTTCTTATGATTCATATTTGTTTTGAAAATTGTTATGATTTATATACCTATCAGTATTCAGGTCCATTACAAAAATGTTTTCTTGGATTTTATAATTTTTTTTATATTATGAATTCAAAGTCATTTAGACTAAGTTTGATTCCTGTATCAATTAGCAATACTACCTTTGAATCAGTGGGTACCATTATGTTATGTAGTGTTAATCAGCATGAATGTTTATAGATCACTATTTATTGTTCGGAGTCATAAATCCAACGCACATATACATATCATTACAATTTTGTACTTATATTTTGTCAACAATAATGATTGGGTGATATATATTTACCCTTGTCTCTCCTTTCCCCCATTTTTGTTGTTTAACGTCAATAAGAGGAGGAGGAGTTAAGTGGGAGGGAGGTGGGAGTAGGTAAGTGTCCACCCCCTCAATGGTGATATGGCATTGATTTACCACTGCTACATTCGAATTATAAATTGGATCTAATAGCTGGTATTTTAACTTAAGATTACAGACATCATAAGTGATATTATAATATGTTGCTACTGTATTATTATAATGTAAAACAAAGTCCATTAACATTATGATAACTTTTATACTTTGACAACTCTTACACTGAAAAGTTCATAAGTCCCAATATCCCAAACACAGACACTGAATACTTTGTGAGTCCCAATATCCAAAACACTAACCCTGAAAAGTTAATAAATCCTAATATCACAAACACTGACACTGAAAAGTTAATAAGTTCCAATATCTCAAACACTAACACTGAGTAGTTCATAAGTCCCAATTTAGGCAATACCCATTCCCTAGCTGCCATCTCTACCTCAATGTATTATGCAAGTACTGTCTCAGTTTCATAGGGCGATAGAACAATTTTCAATGCATAAATATTATAAATAGTGCCTTCTGTGCATGAAACAGATCAAATGTTCATGCTGTTTTATATGTTATGTTGGATGTGATCTTTTAAAGTTTAAATCAAAGTATGTGTATAGTTGTTTGTTTAAATTTGTTTAAATCCATTTTGATATATTATATTTATATCGTGTTCATATTAAATTTGTTAGAAATTTTTGTATAGTACTTAATGTATTATCATGTTAATTTTGTATTATATTATAGTTAGAATGGATACATTATTGCATTTGTAGGTTTATTTAAGGTAGATATGTTTTATTTAAAACAGATAATTTTCTAAATATCTAAATTATATTTTGATGCTTATAATTTCATTTCCCTAATGTTTCCTAAGGATTCCATCATTTTGATTGGCAGACAACAACCACATGGTTTCTTAAAGTGATGTTTAATATTCCAATAAAATGCAATGTTCATGGTTGGCAGATTGTCCATGCTGCCCATGACCACATTCTGCACTATTTACCTTACTCAGTATAAAATTGAGAATGGAAATGGGGAATGTGTCAAAGAGACAACAGCCCGACCATAGAGCAGACAACAGCCGAAGGCCACCAATGGGTCTTCAATGCAGCGAGAAACTCCCGCACTCGAAGGCGTCCTTCAGCTGGTCCCTAAACAAATATGTATACTAGTTCAGTAATAATGGACGTCATACTAAACTCCAAATTATACACAGGAAACTAAAATTAAAAATGATACAAGACTAACAAAGGCCAGAGGCTCCTGACTTTGGACAGGCGCAAAGATGCAGCGGGGTTAAACATGTTTTTTGAGATCTCTACCCTCCCACTATACCTCTAGCCAATGTAGAAAAAACAAACGCACAACAGTACGTACAGTAAAACTCAGTATAAGAGAATTCCGAGTCCGATGTCAGAATAGGAAACAAAAGAAAATAAACAAAAATGACAATAATACATAAATAACAACAGACTACTAGCAGTTACTGACATGCCAGCTCCAGACACCAATTTAACTGATTAAAAGATTATGTCTTCATCATATGAATATCAGGCACAATCACTCCTGTTAGGGGTTTAGTATTATACTGTCATAAAATATATGAGAAGAACATAACCCGTGTCATGCCAAAAACTGGTTTTAGAATAAATGTGTTTAATTCTGATGCAAAGACCCTATAAGTGAATTAATATTAAAGCCAAAATATGCAATCTTTAATGACCTGACAACAGTATCGTAACTATATCCCTTCTTAATAAGTCTGTTTAAAGGTTTTGTTAGTTTTTGAGGTGAATACTGATATTTTTGTGCTTTGTAAAGAATATTACCATAAAAGATTGGATGAGAAATACCCGAACGTATAAGATATCTGCATGTTGAGTTATATTTACGAATGCTGTCCTTATACCGATGATACAATTTAGTAAATGTTTTGACTAGTTTATGATATCGAAAACACTGGTGTAATAATTTTTCAGTAATACATAAATTTCTCTCGCTAAAATCTAATACGTTGTTACATACACGAGCGAATTGTACAAGTTGAGATATATAAACACCATAAGATGGTGACAAAGGAACGTCATCATCTAAAAATGGATAATTAACGATAGGAAATGAAAAATCATCTCTTTTATCATAAATTTTTGTATTAAGCTTCCCGTTAATGATATAGATATCAAGATCGAGGAAAAGACAGTGGTCATTGTTAGTATTAGCTTTATTTAAAGTAAGTTCAACAGGATAAATTTCTTTAGTATACATACTGAAGTCGTCATTATTGAGAGCCAATATATCATCCAAATATCTAAAAGTATTGTTAAATTTTTGTATGAGTATGAATTTTTAAAAGTAGCACAATAAGAGACCTTTGACTATAACTGGTTTATTGTGTTATAAAATTGGCTACTTGACTTGTGTCAATAAATTTTAGATCAGGTTTAGAATTATTGGTAGAATTACATTCATGAAATACATTATTAAAGGGTGGGTGGGAGGAGGGGTTAATTCTCAACCTCAATCAATCTTCTATAAAAGCTTATTCGATTTTTTTTGTTAATTTGTCACAATTTTATTTTGTTACTATTTGACAATTGTGTCAATTTTTGTTTAGCCTGCATCAATTGAATGGTGCAGAATGGGAAACATAGGTAAGCTAATCTTTTGCTGACAGCAGTGTTCGTGTAAAGCTTTATATACTTAGCAAGTAATAGAGCAGTATAATCTCTATCTGGTAAACAGATGCCTTATGGTCTGAAGTTTCCGTCTGGGATGTATCCTTGACCTCATTTTCATGGTTTAATGACCACTTTATTACATTTTTTTAGTGAATATGAGTAATAGGACGACCATATTTGATATATTGAATAATTGCAAGACAAAATAAAGGCAACAGTAGTATACCGCTGTTCGAAACTCATAAATCGATAGAGATAAAAACAAATCCGGGTTACAAACTAAAACTGAGGGAAACGCATTAAATATAAGAGGAGAACAACGACACAACAAAAACACAACATTAAAATGTAACACACACACAGAAACGAACTATAATATAACAATGGCCATTTTCCTGACTTGGTACAGGACATTTTAAGAAAAAAATGGTGGGTTGAACCTGGTTTTGTGGCATGCCAAACCTCCCGCTTTTATGGCAACGTCAAACACAAATGTCCATCAGACATGATTAACCAGACCATGACCTCATTTCAAAGTTAAAGGATCAACATTAAGTTTTTGTGATTATGTCAAATTCTCAGATACTTCTAGTTATAGGAGAAATCTTGTTAAACTTTTCATAAACTGCATGTACATAATTGAGAGTGATTGATTTTGATATTTTTTTTGTTGAGTGAGATGTGTGCTTTATTTCTGTAATATTTGTATTTTAAGTCATTCCTTATTTCCTTTGGACTTTCTCAGAATGTAGTAGAAGGTATTTTCCTTTGAATCACTAAATATTTGAACAGAAAATATATTTGTCTGAAATTAGTCGTGAGAGATGCTTTCATAGATATAGATTGAATGCACAAAAGTATAGATTTCTAGTCTAAAAAAGCATATTTCCCAGTTGTAATGTATATTCTTGCCCTAGCTGCACTACAGACAGTGCATCTTGTTGACAAGGTTTCACATGTCAATCATTTCTCTTAAAAAAAAAAGGATAGATTTTTACCCCTAATTTACAGACTATTTATATATATATATATATATTGTTCCTTTTTCTAGTTTCTAGCTTACCTTATATGGAATGACCTAATTTCAGACAGATCTCTTGGTGTCAATTGCCCATATACTGTAAACATTTCTTGTTTTTTTGCATACTAAGGGTAAATCTCAGAAGATAATTTTGATACAGTGTGAATGACAATCATGAACTTATGACACTTTCTTGAGTATAAAAATAGGTCACAATGACCTGTATTTCATACTTTACTGATAGTAAGTAATGTTTAAAGTATGTAATTATGGCCTTACTTCCAACTTTTGTTTACCTAGTTTTTTTTTATTGAATTTTATATTTATGTTTTGATTGAATTATCTGTATCTTCTGGTATGTTTAGTATTGTACAGTTGCTTTGGAGTGTACTTTTCTTCCTTTAGTTATAAAACATGGGTTCAAGTTACTATAGTTTCTATGACCTACCATGATTCACTGCAATTAAAGTTCCATTCTCTGTAGTCCTTTGTTGAGAAGTTTAGTAGGGCATACATGTTTTAGTACTTGACTTTTATACTGTTAAATGTTTGTTGTTGTTTTATTTTCCTGCATGATTTTTCTGTACACTTTCAGATTTATCTGTTTTGTAGATACAGGTTATTGGTTATATATTAATTGGACAATTATGAGGTAATACAAGAGGGTTTAGGTGGCAAGTCCTTCATTCCTGTATTCTTAAATTTTTGGGAGCATTTTTCTTCATCTTTAAAATTAACACTTATTCTGTGAAATTCTCATGAAAATTATTTTATTTTTTTGAAATAATCTGTAATTATATGATTTATTTATTCTGTACATTGTTCATTTCTGTAATCAGTATTGTATTACCTAATTTTTTTATATTCCACAGTAATTCTTTATACTTTTGCACCCTGTTATTCTCTATTCTTTATTTTTTTGCTCATTTTTCTCTATTTTTCTATATTTTTTTTGCTATTATTCTCCATTTTTTCATATTTTTTTTTGCTATTATTCTCTATTCTGCCAACCTCATCCAGACCCTCGTAGAATATGATTTAAATTTAGTGTAGATGACAAGTGTTTTGGTCATCAGGTACCCTCAGGACAAAAAGCTTAGGTATAGCCTATTAAGAAAATGAAGAACATCGAAATAAAATTTTAAGGAAGTAATACAACTGTATCATAACAAATGTTCAATATTTTTCTGTGTATGTTAATTGGTTAAATGATATAAATATATTTTGAATCGAATGATATAAAAAATTTATAATGTTTTAGATGTTTCATAATTTTTTAAACACTTATTTATAAGAAGTGCATATTTTACCTTGTTGATAAAGCACTTTGACAAAACTTCCATGTTAACTGCTTGTTGTTCTTACAATGGTAAACAAAATAATGTATGCATGTTTATTGTTATATGTTGTAAATTTCCACATACCTTTTCCATAAAGTCTTTTATCCTGCAATCAGCTAACTATTGTACAAATAACAGGTACACAAATAATTTTTTGCTTTATTTGTACTTGTACAAATAAAGTCTCCTGTTACCCCGCTTCCATGTTGAGCAAGCGGTAATGTGGATATTTCTTTTTGCGTACCAGTTCATTTTGGGGTCCTCTTCGCGGTCCGCGTTTAAACTATATCGATTTCTTTGAAAATTTAGAGACAATGATTTAGATTTTAACAACTAAAGTTTCAAGTGTTGGTTGTAAATTTCAGGATAAAAACAATATATGTACATTGTCGGAAAATATACAATTAATTTGTACTCGCTACGAAACAGGAGAAAAGCTCGGCGAGCCTCGCTTTTCGTCCTGTTTCTAAAGCTCATACAAATAAATTTTATATTTTCCGACAATGTACATATATTGTATATTTATCTAATTTGTCTTAGTTAGTTTTTTTATTGTTTTTAACAGCTTCATCCCTGTTGACCCACTTTTGGTCTGCTTTATAACAGGACTTTGGAATTTCTGCAACACACATTTAATAGAGGCTGATTCTAATTTGTTTGTTCAAACATAAAATCATCAAAGATACATCATATATAAAATTTCCAG